TTAAGGTCTGCGTAGGTAATATTCCTACAAATCTAAAAGAAAAAAAAAGTTCGTTCAGATTTTGTCCGAATTATCCGAAATCCGGATTAAAGGGGTCCGAATTAACGAGGGTCGACTGTATGTTGTATATTCGCCTACATTAAAAACACAATGCAATACAGTACACTGATACTGGTGTATAATATACATGTACTGTATACAGCGGTCCCTTGGTTAACGAATTCAATTCGTTCCAGAAGGTCGTTCGTTAACTGAAACCATTGTTTCAATGGGAATTTGGGTAATTGGTTCCAGCTCACTGAAAATTACATACAAAGTAAAAATAAATGCAGTAAAGTACACTTACTTTGAGGTGTGTATGTAGAAGGCTCCTGGTTGATGATGATGATGGGAATTAGAAGTGGGGGTGGAGGAGAAGGGAGAAGAGAAGGAAGTGGGGGTGAAAGAGAAATCACCCCATGCTTGATGCCGTCATTTCACCCATAAAATTTTAAGTTCACTAGGTGTAATTCTAGATTATTTTCTTTAAATCAACACTGCACTTTATATTGTCAATATGTAAAATAAATTTCAGAATGACCAATAATTGTACTGTAAAAACGTAAAAATAGTTTATGTTCAAGAGAGCCACAAGCAAGATGTTGCCTCCACTGACCAGAGATACAAACTGACGCCTTGCTAGGTGAGTCAAGTGGCTGTTGGGCGCACCAAAACTAGTTTCTTGTACTGCAATTATGTTAAATAAGTGTTAAAATGACTAAAAAATTTAATATAAAACTTGGAAAATTATTGAATAGTACAACCTTCTTGATATTTACTCAAATGGGAACGAATTTAAGCCCTAGAACCGATTACTGTATTGGCAGACTAATATTCCAGCTGGTGAGCAAGCGAAAACATGTTGACATGATTTCGTAAAAATTTCGTTAACCGAATTGAAGATTCTTAGATTCTTATGGAAGGTAATTCGTTAACCGAGGGATCACTGTATACTGTATATAGTTATGCAAAATTAATTGTCACGGCTGCTTCAAGGTCACATAGCACCAGAGTGTGCCGAAGGGGGGGGGGGGATGTCTTCGAGAACGTCCTCTTTTTTTAATGTTCACATATGGCAACCCTACACTACCTCATATGACCGTGTTAAACAATTCTTACACGAGATTTAACAAACGGTACAGAAAGAGTGGTACTGTTTCCTGTAGGTCCAAAACTCATTATACATCTATTTTAGGCCATTTAAATACTCCTATATAAACTAATTTGTATAGATTTTAATAAGATACATTTTTTATGTATATTATGGTATTATCTGAAAAAATTAGTTACATAAAGATCAAGCTGATTGTGGTACAGTATGTTGACAAGTTATGTAGAATTGTGTAGGGATTTTCCTCCTGTAGTCTCGAATATTCCGAGCTAACGATGCATCTCAAATTACGGTCGCTATAATTATCTAATAGTTTGGCTAAATACACTGGTTTAAATTTTGTACTATAATAATTTCACTACAGTATTATCATCTTCACTACAGTATTATCATCTTCACTACAGTATTATCATCTTCTCTACAGTACTTCAAATTGTAAAAAAAAACCCACTAAGTACTGGATATATTTTTGTGAGTTATTATGGACGTGCCAAAAAAATGTCAATCGCCCGAAGATTAACGACCCAAGCTTGTTTTGACCAAAGCTTAACCCTTTGAGGATGGTGGTTTAACCCTTTGACAATGCTATAACCCTTTAACGACAGATATTTGACCCTCGAAATAAGGTTGGGTGTGTCCCGTAAGAGTGATCTATATCTTTACCTAACTGCTATCGGTGTTGGTTTACCCCGGGAAGTAAGGTAGTTCGGGATGAATTTTGTTATCGTTTTAGTCATGCGGCGAATTTTAGGATCTCAAGGTTGGGTTGGGTTGTAGTAGGTTCAGTCAGGTTAGGTTGAAATGATGCTTTTCCGATGGATTTTGATGTGTTTTGAACGACTTCCACGAAGGTGCGTGATGTAAATGATGGTTTTACCCGAATGCTTACTTGAATCGTGGCGGTTACACCATACTGAAGCCTTCACACAAACACTCGCACAAAAACACTTATTTAATAATAATAATAATAATAATTAACGGTTTATTGAAAGAGCTTGGCAGCCAGAAGGCTGAAAATATACAGTTACATATTTGGGGAATGGGTTTCGAATTACAAATAATATACAAGTAACATAAGTGACACAAATAAGACTGTGTTATTATAGTGTACAGTAGTGGATATAAAGAACGCTTAAGTTTTGATTTACAGTGATACCTCGATACAATGTACTTTTCTCTCATAGTTCGTTAAATAGAGGTTTCACATCTAACGGGACCTCGATATTATGTACTTTTCTCTCCATATAGTTCGTTAAATAGAGGTTTCACATCTAACGGGTTCGTTAAATAGAGGTTTCACATCTAACGGGACCTCGATATTATGTACTTTTCTCTCCATATAGTTCGTTAAATAGAGGTTTCACATCTAACGGGACCTCGGTATAATGTACTTTTCTCCATATAGTTTGTTAAATAGAGGTTTCACATCTAACTGGACCTCGATATAAAGGCCTTTTTTCTCGTTATAGTTCGTTTCACTGTACCAAACAAGAAGAAAGTGTTTGATCACTGACCCTAAAGCACTATGGGTAGAGATAGAGAGAGAATGTAGGTACAGTAAGTCCGGATAATTCACGGATATTTATCTCGCGGTCCTCTATCATTTGCGTATGGCACCCTGGATGTACCCAAGAATGTCTGTGGGTAGTTTTAAAGTTGCCGGCATTTTCGCGGCCAGGACAGGGAGCCACACGTTCTAGACCGGGGGGTTACCAAGCATTTTCCAGTGTGACCCTGCCTAGTACGGTCGCCTATCCAGTGTGACCCCAAGTCATTATATATGATGTTTGTATGAGGAATCTTAGAGTAATACAGACATATTGATATATTTATTTGAACTATAAAAACAAATAAGGAAAATGTATTACAAACTTGAGAAGTGTTAAAGTGAACACTGGCAGAACTACAACTGTCATGTTTAATGTGTGACTATATGATCATTTAGTGGTCTATACCTGGGGATATAATTATATGATTAAGCAACACAATGTTCTTAGTTAGAGCTGTTCTACTGTATGTATTTATGACTTGTGTGCACCATCATATAATTTATTATACTAGTTATATCTGTCATCATTCAGGTGGTAGTAGGAGCCGGTGTCGAGGATGGTGCAGAAGCTTCTTACCAAATTTGCAGATGAGGTCTTGGTGATGGTCAGTGAGAGTCGAAAGGGTCAGTGTGTTGAGCGCTTCTTTTTATGTGGAGTAGGAAGGGGAGAGAATAATCTTGCCTGCCCTCTTTTGTGTGGCATTTACGGAGGAAGACCAGGTAGGAGAGGCATAGGTGAGCTTGGGCGTGTGTATGTGTGTGCTAATGCTTGACCAGTGTTTGTGTAATGTTTGCTTTATGTATTATGGTGTATTGTCTCACAGCACAGTGGGTTAGGTGACTCAAGACAATGCCATACCCCAGTTGATACCAGGGAGAGGTGAGGTGAGGTACAGAATGTGCTGAGAGAATGAAATTGGTAAAGTTTATTTGATTGACCATTGGAGGGAGAGAGAGGGGGGGGGGCGAAGATAAGAGGATTATAGGCGTGCATGAAGTGTTGACCCTTGCATGGCATTTTGGGGGGGGGATGGTGGTTGTTACAGGGTTGTAGATAAGTGATGAGGGTTGTAGGCAAGTTGTCATTAGTGATATCTCTTGTGGTTCAGTGTTCTATAATCTACCAAGGGATCACATGAAGATTAGACACCCCAGTTTATTTCACCCCGTTCAATAACCTAACCTAACCCAGCCTAACTCCCTCAGTATTAGGATATTTAATTATTAGGTAGAATAAGTTGGGTGTCCGATGCTCATGTGATTCCTTAACCATCTGCTACAACTGACTTACACCCTTATGACCTTAGCTATAAGGACTTGCTGTACGGGTGATTGAGACTCACTGTACGGGTGATTGAGACTCACTGTACGGGTGATTGAGACTCACTGTACAGGTGATTGAGTCTCAAGAACCCACATGAGGTGTAAGTCGGGTAGGTTGTGATGGTTCAGGTATGTGGGGGAAAGGGTAGTTAGGCAGGTGTTGGTATACAATGTGCTGCATCTACACTGTACCTAATGGGTAGTTATGCCTCTGGGGCTCACCTACACAGTGTGGGTAATGCCTTAGGTTAGGTTGAGTTAACATTAGGCTGATGAAGTGCTGGGTGAATAATGTTCATTTATTTCAAAGACGGATTCTGAAGTGACAATGTTAAGTAAAGACTGATCCTGAAGTGACAATGTTAAGTAAAGACTGATCCTGAAGTGACAATGTTAAGTAAAGACTGATCCTGAAGTGACAATGTTAAGTAAAGACTGATCCTGAAGTGACAATGTTAAGTAAAGACTGATCCTGAAGTGACAATGTTAAGTAAAGACTGATCCTGAAGTGACAATGTTAAGTAAAGACTGAAGTAAAGACTGATCCTGAAGTGACAATGTTAAGTAAAGACTGATCCTGAAGTGACAATGTTAAGTAAAGACTGATCCTGAAGTGACAATGTTAAGTAAAGACTGATCCTGAAGTGACAATGTTAAGTAAAGACTGATCCTGAAGTGACAATGTTAAGTAAAGACTGATCCTGAAGTGACAATGTTAAGTAAAGACTGATCCTGGAGTGACAATGTTAAGTAAAGACTGATCCTGAAGTGACAATGTTAAGTAAAGACTGATCCTGAAGTGACAATGTTAAGTAAAGACTGATCCTGAAGTGACAATGTTAAGTAAAGACTGATCCTGAAGTGACAATGTTAAGTAAAGACTGATCCTGAAGTGACAATGTTAAAACCAAGCCACAATGGTAGTGTTGCTCATTAACTAACGCCGAAGTGGTCGAGTAATTAGCGTTTCGTTGACAGTGAGGCGGATGGGGTGCCGAGTACAGCCCTGAGGGAGATCTCTCTTCTCAAGGAGCTCGACCATGAAAACATCGTGCGTCTTCTTGATGTGGTGTACGGCGACCGCAAACTGTACATGGTCTTTGAGTACCTTAACCAGGTGAGCTGTGTCTACATTGTATTACTTATCACACCAGTTAATCTAAGGTGGTGAGAATAGTTTAGTAAATCCCTGTTGGTTTCACCTCCTGGTTCTACTACTCTTGTTAGGTCTGTCAAGTGTATCAGCCACTGTGGTGCATTTTTTCCCAGCCGAGGAGAGATGCCCCGCCCCCTCCTCAAGAGTTGTAGCTGATTGGCTGTTGCAAACCTGTCCGATTTCGTCCTGGTGTTAAGGTGTATGTATTTCTAAACGAGTTTATTCCTAACGTTGGGATGACCGTTTGTGACGAGACAGATATTTAGCTAAATTATATAAAGATACATACATTAATTATTTTAAACATAAGAACGTAGGAAGTTTATCAGGAGTATTATGCTTGAATTAACTGTTAAACTCTGGTAGCAAATTCACTCTTTCGGAGGATGCCTTTAATATACGGGGTACTGTATACTTATTTTTACCCACAATAAGACAAATTACTTATCAGTAATACTACATGATGCTAAAACTAACACTTTAAAAGATCAGAATCACATTGAAATATTACAGTCTCTGACAGTTGGTGGATGAGTGTGACAGACTGGGGAGCTTGGCCACAGCAGAGGCGGGAAATATGAAGTTGTTCCCAGTCATATTTCCCGCCTCTGCTGACGGCCGTGGAATATTTCAACGTGATTCTGATCTTTTAAAGTGTTAGTTTTAGCATAATGTTAATTCATGCATAATACTCCTGATAAACTTCCTACGTTCTTATGTTTAAAATAATTAATGTATGTATCTTTATATAATTTAGCTAAATATCTGTCTCGTCACAAACGGTCATCCCAACGTTAGGAATAAACTCGTTTAGAAATACATACACCTTAACACCAGGACGAAATCGGACAGGTTTGCAACAGCCAATCAGCTACAACTCTTGAGGAGGGGGCGGGACATCTCTCCTCGGCTGGGAAAAAATGCACTATAGTGAGATAATGAGTAATACAGTGCTTCAATATATCTCCTTTACTTGTGCCTCACCATACAGTACAGCACAGTACTCTTATATTGAGACTTAGTGTTAATTATTTCCTGTGCCAGGAACTGTTGACTTGCTTTAATTGTTATTCATTTTCTCTAGTTGTCATTTATTTGTTTTATTCATTTTCTTCTTTATTCATTTTCTTGTTATTCATTTTCTCTAGTTGTCATTTATTTGTTTTATTCATTTTCTTCTTTATTCATTTTCTTGTTATTCATTTCCTTGTTATTCTCCAAACAATAGGACCTAAAGAAGCTGTTTGACGAGTGTGGCGGGGGGCTGTCCCCTGACCTGGTAAGGAGCTACATGCAGCAGCTACTGAGGGGCATCGCCTTCTGCCACTCTCACCGCATCCTCCACCGCGACCTCAAGCCACAGAACCTCCTCATAGATGCTAAGGGTGAGATGACTTTTTCTGTCTCTTCTGTATAATGGACACCTTGGTATAGTGGGCTTTCATCTCTTTTTAGTTTGTTAGATGAAGGTTTTACATTTAATGGACCCTCGATATAATGGACTTTCATCTCTATAGTTTGTTAGATGAAGGTTTTACATTTAATGGACCCTCGATATAATGGACTTTCATCTCTATAGTTCATTAGATGGAGGTTTTACATTTAATAGACCCTCGATATAATGGGCTTTCATCTCTATATAGTTTGTTAGTTGAAGGTTTTACATTTAATGGACCCTCGATATAATGGACTTTCATCTCTATAGTTCATTAGATGGAGGTTTTACATTTAATGGACCCTCGATATAATGGGCTTTCATCTCTATATAGTTTGTTAGTTGAAGGTTTTACATTTAATGGACCCTCGATATAATGGACTTTCATCTCACACCACCACAATCCCCCCTAGACACACCAACACCTTTCTATATATGAAATAGTCTGCCAAACAACATTATACTGTATTCAATAAAGTAATTTGTATTTTTCTCTATCTTTCTCACTGATCAAAGGCCCAAGGTAAGAGTTCATGTACTTTTTTGTCCCCTTGGTATTGATGGGAGATACAGTGTGTCTGCGCCTGTCTGTCTTCCTGTGTACAGTATCTGACTTAGTGGATGTTGGAACAAGTACGAATACAGCAACATTAATTAAAATGGAAAGTTAATTTAACATGGCTGCTAATGCTTGTAATTTATCAGAGATTTTATTCACTACATAACAAAAGTTGAATAAAGACAAATATATATATATAAAGGAAAATGCAGTAGTAAAATATATCATTGTCGTAGAATTTCGCGATGTAAATTTCTCGTATTTTATTAATGTTTTTTTCCTCATTTGTTGTTAATATTATGGTGATTCTCTATACAGTGTGACATTGTACTTTTGTTGTAAGTTTAGGACATAACAAAGGTTGGTTTAGTAGCTACTGCCCACCGTGTCAGGAGTCTCTCTTCGGCAGATAATTCAAAACAATAATCTTTTCAGGATCCATCAAGCTCGCAGACTTTGGCTTGGCCCGGGCATTTTGTTTGCCGGTCAGAGTTTACACGCACGAGGTGGTGACGTTGTGGTACCGCGCCCCAGAGATCCTCCTCGGGGCTAAGAATTATTGTACCTCCGTCGATATGTGGAGCCTAGGTGCCATCTTTGCCGAAATGGTGAGTTTTGTCGTGTGTTACGGGTTTTTAGAGGGTAAGACATACAGCGCGAGAAGACTGCTCATGATCGTGTGTGGGTTGTTGTTAAGTCCAGGAGACTGTCAACATTATACAAGTGTTCAATTTCACCCCACATAAGAGACACAGTCAAGGTACAGCATGGGTCTGGTCCACTGTTGGGGAGAAATTAGAATTAAACTTTACTCAGAAATTTTTTTATCTGTATCTCAAGATTTATATTAGACTCATTGTTTCACCAGTTGACGAGAAAGGCTCTGTTCCCCGGCGACTCCGAGATCGACCAGTTGTTCCGCATCTTCCGCACTCTGGGAACGCCGGGTGAACAGGACTGGCCGGGCGTGACTCAGCTGCCAGACTACAAGAGCACGTTCCCCCGCTGGGAGGTGGACGCCAACAGGTCCATAGCTCAGTTGGTGCCGCGGCTGGACGAACACGGGCGCCTTTTACTCCTGGTTAGTGACGATGATAGTCTTTATTTAGGAACCACCTTGAGACCAACCCAACGTAACCTAACTTAATGTAGCCATGAAGGTTGTGAATGGATTTACATATTTAGGAGCAATATTTAATGATGGTGCTACTCATTTTACCGTACAGGGTATATGTCGACACGTTCTTATATACCCGTCTTGTGTCTGCCGCAGAGTATGTTGACGTACTACCCGAGACAGCGCGTGACGGCCAAACACGCCCTCCAGCACCCTTACTTCGACGACGCTCGCCTCGTGCCGCCCACGGGAGTGCGGTGAACTCTGCCAGTCGTCGTGGTCCAAGTAAAAACAATGGTTGAGCTTATTATATTTTATTAATTATTCCAGGAGTGGTTATTGCAAGTAATAATTCACTAGTAGTGGAGGTTCCTGGGCGAGGCGAGGGTTCTGGCACATAGTAAAGTTTAGTTGTATTTTTTTCGAAGAGTTTATAAGTTAGTGTTGGTGTGTGGATGTCTTGCGTCCAGTAGTGTAGTGTAGAGGAGAGTAGAGTAGACTGTTTATGTTATAATACTTGCTTGTATTTTTTTAAGGAGGGAAATTTTTAGTTAGTTTCTATATTGTCTGATAGTTTGTTTGTCAGTTATGTATACAATAAGATCAAGTCTGGCTGTGACCAAAATAGGGTAAAATAATATATAGATACAAAGTTTTTATTAATTGTAGTTTTAAATACCAGAGTACTTTTATATTTTCTGTACTGGCGTGTTGACTTTCCCACTTGGTCTTTGTAAAGTTGATCGGGTGTTGTCAAGGTTACATGCCTCTTGGTGGCTCCTGTCGTGTCTGGATGAAATATTAAGATGTACAAACATTAAAAACTGATTTATATTCTTGTAAAAATTAAAATTGTACATGTAGAAGAATTATAAATTGAAATATAAATATTTTTCTTACATTTGTTGTGCTGTTGAGGACTGTATGTGTGGTAGTTGGCCCTGGTGTGTGTGGTAGTTGGTGGCCGGATTTAAAGTACTGGTCAAACCTAACACTCCTAGCTGTGTCCAAGGTAGCTAGTCCATTACTACCTATCCATCCAAACCTAAAACCCCTTAAATATCTGTACAAATCTATATAATCTTTATCCAAACAAAGTCTATAGGTACAAATCCTTTTATCCAGCTCTAAAAAAAATCTTATATAGACACGGATTCCCTTTCAAGCTATATAAACCCTTATATGTTGGGCTAGCCTCACTAACTGGCTCATACAACAAGTGGTACAAACATGGGGACTTCTATAAGACGTGTGGGGGATAAGGTGGTAAGGGACTCATGGAAGTTACTGTAGAGGTAGGAATGAAATGGTTGTAGGCTGTAGCTCTACCATTAATGTCAAGACCCATGTTATTTTTCCCTCTTACAAAATAATCTTAGTGGTGGACTGTCAGAGTGTGTGTGTAACTCATTGTGTGTTTGGGGTTTCTCTCAGCTGACTTAATCCAGAATAAAAGACCTGATTGTATTGCTACTCCTCTAAGGGTTAATGTTGCACCTGATTGTATTGCTACTCCTCTAAGGGTTAATGTTGCATTTGTATTAGATGAAAATATTGCTTTATAACATGTTTGTATTTGTGTGTAATACAAATGTGATGTATTGTGTAACATTGTACAATACACTTAAGTGTCCAGGACAAACTACTGTAATTGATAGTGTTTGTATTGAATGAATGTATTAATATATGCAATACTGTAATGTTGTTATAAGACATTTGGTCGAGTACAAATGTGTTGGAGGGTATTCTCATATGCTTGGCAGCTCTTAACAGGAACCCATTCATTAGTGACAGCTGACTTATAGCTCGCCCAACAACCAGGGAGGTGCTTCTTGTTCACTCTCCTCCCAACCGACTGTTAATGGACAAAGATGCATTTAGGGCCAAGTATAATTTGGTGAGGACTGAGGAGAGGAGCAGAGTGACAGACACAAGAGGTATGGGAACACCCTCCTCTACTGTCAGGTGGTTGGCAGGCAGCAGCTGAGTGGTCACCTCCTTTAGCTGGTCCCTCAATACAGTTGTGTAAATACGTACTGTACTCATTTATTCCTCTGAAGTACACCATGTCCAGTACAGTGTTGTATTTAATTAGTTACAGTACAGTTATCTCCCATCTTAAGTGGTAGATAATTTCTTAAATGTACAGTATGCAAAGCTCAAAGAAATTCCCATAAATGTTATAAGTGGAGGCTGTTTTCTGAACAGTCACTGAAGAACATTTAATCTCGATTGCAAGGTTTAAGGTTTCCTCTGCCTCTTCTTGTCATAATTACGTCACTACTGCTTCAGAAAAATGTTCCACGGGGAGGTGTAGCACAGTGCCGCACCTTACAACGGTGTGCTACTGCCAGGCTTCTCATGTTTCCTGTGTACATCACTCATCCCCACACTGCACGACACTCACTGTGCACATTATATTGGTGGTCGCAGTAACTGAGGTAGTGAGTTGAGGTGATATTTTCTTCACTTCAATAATAAATTACAATAAGGCAATACGTAGAATACAAGCACATGAAGGGTTAAGTGTGTATATGCTGTATTGCTTAACTGCTGATGTACTGTATGTATGCATCTGTGTTGGCTACACTGTTTTACCAGGTGTCTGAAACATTCACCTCATCATAATTCATCTGCTCCCTGTGTATTTCAGATCTGTGGGATTTCACTGTACAGTACTGCTGGGTGCTGGTGAATATCCTTACAATAGTGAAAAAAGGCTCGCACTGTTTTAACACAATCAGTGGTACGCAGTGTGGTGGGGCACAGTGTTCTCTCCCCCAGGCCAAGAGCTGATAGTCCAGAAAAGTGTTTTACACTCTTAGAAGGAGTGTTGAGATAAACATGAGAGCCCTGCATAATGTACAAACACATTCTGTTAAGGTTATTGGATCTGAAGTTTTGTTGTATCGAGTTGGACATTCTTAGCCAAGGACGTTTGTGGTTAAACTTCAACTGACCTAAAAAAAATAATGTGGCAGCAGTTTTAAAAGTGAGTTGTAAAGCATTATATTACATGACAGCCTCACCTGTGTATGGTGGTGAGGACCACTGTGTCAGGTTATGGGTGCACTATACAAACAACTGTCTTGTCTCCCACTCTTCTCTGGAATGGTTCAACTGGGCAAATATCAGGCAATTTGATGTAAGAAATATGGTCAAGGTTTATAAGTTAAGCCATTTATTGATACAATCTAGTTTGGTTGTAACAGTTGCCATGTGGTGACTTACAAATGACCATAACAGAACTTCAATTTGAAACTGTGCATCATATGTATATTAGTGTGGCAGGTGGACAGTCCTCAGCAGGATATATTGCCATTGTGGGTTAAGACATTTTCTTAGATATTTTAATAATTTTTTTAACTGATATAATTTGTCATATATTTCCCTGATACCTGTACAGTATGTAGAAAAATGAAGACTGTTTGTAACTCAGCTTCCCCTAGTGACCAGCTTATTCATGAGTGAAAGTTTGTATTAAACATTGATCGATCATCTGTGGGTAATGCTAGAGGCAGAAAAGTCCAAGAAAGACGAGTGTGTGAAGCTGTCGAGTTAAGTTACCCTGACGAGAATATTTTTACACAAACTATTTACTTTCTCCTCGTCTAATTTCCCGACTTTTAATACAAACACAAACTACATTTTTGTACGTATGACAATGGCGGTGCTATTTACTTTTTTAGCAATTTTTTATCTATTCCGAGATGTATTGATGCCAAATAAAATATTTTCAAAACTTCTGGTTTGCTTTATATACACATTGTAGTAAAGGTTGGTGAAAGATGTGGTAATACTTGGTCAATACATTTGTTAATGAATATGAAGTAGTTTAATATAATAAACAGCAAAATCTGATCTGTAGTAATGAAAGAATTGTCAGCTGTAAGTAACTCCTCGGTCTTTGTGTAGACAGGGAACGATGTCACTAAATACCTAACTTAACCCAACCCAATCTGTTTATATCCAGAAAAGTTGTACAGTTTCTTATTCCTTCTTGACAGAGTAATGGAAGATTTGAGTTGGTATATAAGCAGAATCAGTGCTGGCTGTTGACAAGAGGAATCACAGTCCTAGATCCACCTGATGTAACAAGGTACTGGTGGTGGAGGAGGAGGTATTGAAAGGATAGTTACAGTAGATAGCTGCACTGTAGAGTAGAGGAGTGTGATGTAGATGGTCATGTATAGTAGTGGGAATTACATAGAGTCCTTGAAGGGGTGTGAGTACATGTGTTGATAAAAGTCCCCCCCCCCCCGACCTGTGAAACCAAGGCTGCGATCTTATTTACCCTGACTGGTTGTGGTGTTCAATCTCATTGGGATTGATGCTGCTTCATTTTGGAGGGGGTGAACTTATGACCCCAATTATGAAAGCAGGTAAAGAATGGTCAATGTGTAGTAACCTGACTAGAATATAGAAAGCAAATGATTGAATGATTTTATTGTTGAAAGTTTCCTTGATAAAAATACATATATTGGTGATTTATGTATTGTTTCATTCATGTATAGTAATTATCTTCAGAGGGGAGTAGTCTTCATTAGACAACAGGTATACACTTCTGGTACCCTGATGCTATACCGAGACTTAAAACATAACAGCACCACTACCTTGTTCTCCACTATTAGTCACTTGAATTACATACAGTAGATGGCAGCAGTGGTAGATTCGGCTAAATAATAATAATACTGTAATTGATATTTAGTCAATTTATCTTAGAATAGTGAACCAAGTCATCAGATGCTTATATCCAGTAATCTTTTGGTCTAAATGCTAACAGCCTCTTGTGTTCCCAGGCAGTCACCGTCGTTAGTACTATCCAGCGCCAATGTTGAATTTCACTGATCGGGCGAGAAGCAATGTATTCAGCATGGTGTATTAAGAACATGAAAAAGGGAGCCATATATATACAGTAACTTTATTAAATACATTATCACACATGACTATACTGTACTGTAGTGTTCTGGGAAATTAATTATCACAGTATTTATGTATGGAAGAATAAGTATATTTGTGCAGTTATTGTATGTAACTTAACATACAATATAACTCTAAAGTGGTACATACACATGACCTTATTTGGCACAATTGTTCATATAAGACACGTACTGTACTGTATTTATATAACATATCCATATCTAGTGCTATCCTAAGAGGTAAGTTAGGAGTATTTTGTTAATTACATAACAGATACAAGATGCTTCCTTCTCTTAATGTTACAGATTCCTGGTTTAAAAGTTCAAAAATCTCCACTAAACAAAATAACATGGTAGACCAATTGTCATTACCAGTACAGTATACAGGATGATTCAGCAAAGAATAAATTAGTATACAGGGTGATTCAGCAAAGAATAAATTAGTATACAGGGTGATTCAGCAAAGAATAAATTAGTATACAGGGTGATTCAGCAAAGAATAAATTAGTATACAGGGTGATTCAGCAAAGAGTACATCAGTATACAGGGTGATTCAGCAAAGAATACATTAGTATACAGGGTGATTCAGCAAAGAGTACATCAGTATCTGACATTTTATCATAGAGACATTATGGTTTAGAGTTATCCGGGGATTTCATCATCCAATTTAATGTGTTCTTTGCTGAATCACCCTGTATAATTGTTACTTGTCAATAGTAAAGACAGTAAGCTTTATTTGTTCAGTTCACACACAACAGCACCCTTCTCCTTGATCACCATCTGTCCTCTGTGTGGAAGATGAGGTTCACATTTTCTGACTGATCCAATTTGACTAATCAGTATGACTTTAGTGGTCTGCTTTTAACCCCAGGCAATAGTTCACGTCATTGTGACTTAACATACAGTATTGTAATTGTGTGGTAGTGTTTAAATCACCACCCAGGTCTAGCTTGATGTCAAATACTTAAGTCGTTTATCTTTCACTCCCAGCAACCATTTTTGGTGGTGTTACAGTTTGTGATGTAGGGATCTCACTCGACTCACCACATGTTTCTCCCCACAACACAAGTGTAGTTGGGAGCTCTTGTCCACCAACAGATTCATGATCAGTTACTGGAGGTGGTGGTAATGCATGAGAACTTGGCAAGCTGGCCCACAATTAGTAGCCCGTGCGCCTCTCGTCAGGGATAGACCTCTGCTCATTCAAGGTAACGTACAGCCATCATTTCAGCCTTCTCGTATATTTACTAACCATATCTGCCTCTACATCAGGCCCTACCAAGAGGAAAGGCAAGCAGCTGATAACCTTGCCTATTGAACTGAAGGTGTTAGATCATATGGCTGCTGCTGGTATCTCCATGTATGTAGTACAGTACTGTATGTGGAGGAGTTTAAAGTCCTCTACCAGTGATTTAAGTGTCTGTGAAGTGTTACTGTACATATAGTGTTAAGTGTGATGTATAAAATGTGGTTGTGAAGTGTTACTGTTATGTATAAAGTGTACAGTACAATAGTGTTAAGTTTGTCAGAACAATTTACTCTAGTGCCTGTGGAGTCCGGCATACAATACAGTACTGTTGTCTGCCTCGTACAAGCACATCAAGAATCCACCCCCGACTGTTAGTGTGCGTCAAGACATTGTCCCTGAGTGTTGGTAAGTACCTAATTCAGTTTTTCTTTTATTTCATTATACATATACTGTACCTGTATACTCATTAATGATAAGTTGACAAATTTCAATACTCATTAAGGTTTCGGCTACATACGGGTAGTGTGCCGAGTTGTGGGGGGGGGGGTTACTCTAACTTATAACCTCATCCACTGTCTCACACACACACACACACACACCGCTGTGACCACTTAACACACATTCTCAACTCTTCTTAGCCCCGGTGATGCCAACCTGTACATTATATTTCTTCAGTACTTACATTATCTACGACTAGTTTGTAAGATTAGAATTGCATTTGATTTATTGAATTTTCTCGAACATAACTGCGTGGGGGTGGCCTGGGAGTTAGCGTTGGTCACCTTTTTCAGGACGCAAAAAATAAATAAATAAAAAATACCGTATTGCAGTAGTACTACTATTGTTTACTTTTCACGAAAGACGCAAACCCTTTCTAGTGACCCAACCATTGAAGGAATGACCACCATCTGTACAAATTCTTACACAGCACAGTAAATTAATCAAGGTAGTGTGTGTGTGTGTTTACCTTTTTACAATCATCGGTGAACTCAAACATCTGTCGACTCGTGTACTGGGAGAGGACACCGCACCGAACTGACCTACCCTGACTATTTCATTTTGGGCGGGAACAACCTTTGACCCTGACTATACACATTCTGCCGGGGTCGTGAATCTGCCTATTGATGGTGTATGGGCGAGGGAGTTTATAAACCTCTTGTTCAGCTTCACTACAAGTTGAGAGGGTCAATGGTGTGAGGTCTGTATGTTGTATTTCTCAATGTATTGCTACTAAATAGTTCGTGCAGGGTGAGTGTGAGGGAAAAGTGTTGGGGATGGGAGGGAAATGTTGGGGAAGGGAGGACAATTGTTGGAGGAAAGGAAAAAAAGTATAGGAGGAATGGGTAGAGAGTAAGGGTGAGGGAGAGTGGCCACAAAGGGAGGAGGGATAAGGGTCAGTTTCACACAAGTTGGTTTTACACTACAGCACTGCCTGAGTACTCTGTAAGGAAGGAGGGAGGAAGGGAAGGGAGAGAGGGAATCAAACATATAACAACATAAGGGCACGATTAACATGCATTAGATATTCTTCTTGTTGCAAAGGTGAAGGGGAAGAACCTCTGCTCAGTCATTCAGTCTCTCTCTCCTCTCTCCCTCTCTTAGGTAAAACTCTACTTTCCTCTGGGTTATAAATTATCTAACTACAAAATCCTCAAATATAAGAGAAAAAAAACTTACAATTCTCATTACCTGAAAACTTCCAGATCTTAATTTGTTACTTTGGTCAGGAAAGAAGAATACAACAGGTGCATTAAGCTATTGTTTATTAGTAACGTTTCTCTCCCCGGAAACATTACTAGTGAGGTGGCGGCTGTGGACTTGTAACCATACAGTAAACGCCTCCCAATAACTGACTTCTCAATAGTGGATATTCTCAATAACAGAATCCTCTCTATAATGGATAGGGCTTGTAAGGATTTGTCTGGTGAGGTTAGGGTTATGTTAGGTTGGCTTGGGTTAGGTTAGGTTATTGAAAGGGTTTACTGTATGATAACCTCCAATACAGGATTTAACTCAGCTACAATATGAGCATCAAAACTGGTTAATTTTTACAATGTGTTTTATACAGTAAAGTGAAACCTCAATATAATGGACTTTCATCTCTATGTAGTTCATTAGATGGAGGTTTTACATCTAACAGACCCTCGATATAATGGACTTTCATCTCTACAGTATATAGTCCGTTAAATTGAGGTCTCACTGTATTTCCATTGTAAACTGACCAAAAAATAAAATAAAACTTAACATAGATAATTATTGCTATAAAACAAACAAATATTACAACACAATACAGTATTAAATTTTGATTGTAACTGTATTACCTTATGGTTTGATACAGAATGACTGTACCTGTAACCCACCAGTAACATATTCCACTGTAAAATAGCTGCATAATATATTGTAGTTGGTTACAGTGACATAACATGCAAATAAATTGAGCTTAATAGAATATTTGTAAATTAAAACAAATTAAATTAGCAAACATTCATTTTAACATTTCAACCATTATTTAACAGAAGGGTAAATCTCTCACATTATTTTTTTTATAATTAAACAAACCAAAATTCACAACAGACGTCAACTACATAACAAAATTGGTCCGATTCTGGTAGAGGCTCACCCGTCTAAGCTGTTAACAATTCCAAAACTCTAAATACACATTCCAGTTGTTTCTCATTGATGTTATTTATGATACAAACGCCCGTTAGCTATGTCAATATATAGAGTAAATTTTCATCAGTCCATATACACACGGACTTCCACCCCCAAATGATACCTCACACAACCAATACAGTACAGTACTTTAAGGTAACAACCGAAATAACAAGAAGAAATAATGCCCTCACACTTCATGGTAAAGGGTAGAATACATCGGCTCACCACCACTCCACTAACTAGGGGGCTGCTCCGTTGTTTACCGAGGCACCGAATGCTCGTGATCAAGGACGTAAACACACAATTCGACAGTCGGTGTAATATTCGACAAACCGGCACGACAACTAACGTTACTTTACAATTCGCTATTTACAAACGTTCACTAATTTTAGCCCTTTGTTGTCCATTGGTAATTGTTGGGTGAAAGATAAGTCTAGTGGATCCATCAATATGGTGCCCTTGGCGGTAGCTTTTGTACTACAACATTGTGTGACCTAATCTTTGTGGTATATATAAACCTTTGTGCAATACCTGAACACTTGGGGAGGGGGGAAGGGAGAAGAGAGAATGGAATAGAATAGGGGAAGGAGAAGAATGGTAGAGAGGAGAAAGAAGAATGGTATAGAAAGGAAGAAAGAAAGATGACAGAGTTTGATTGTTATTTACATTTTCTCACTGCTTCCACCGCTAACTTCCACTGAAAATCTAATTACATTTAAAAGCCTTGACTGTGGCCACATTTAATGATGATAGCAGCTATTAAACCTTGTACTGAAGCCAGAGATGATGTGTATTGGCTGCCAGAATTTGTATCTCACTCATACCTCACAATTTGTCTCCTCTACCTCACAACCTGCCTCACACATCATAGTCTACCTCACGACACCTCACAACCTGCCTCACACATCATAGTCTACCTCACCACACCTCACAGCCTGCCTCACACCTCACAACCTGCCTCACACATCACAGTCTACCTCACCACACCTCACACATAATTTAATGATACCTGTACAAATATCATTAATTTCTCCACCTCTCTATCAACAACTTATATCACATCCTTAACATGTTAATTTAACCCCTTGTGTATGGGGTTGACTCTTGGAATGAATAAAAGCATCTGATGGTTGCCAAATATTAAAAGTGGCGTCCTTGAAGTGAAGCGGTTGTCATAATGCTATTACTGCGCTTAAACAACTGAGGTCTTGAAGCGTATAACGAGATTAGTAATTACAATATCCCGTCAACTATTAAAAATTACGAGATACAATTTTCTTCGCGTGATAAGGGGGTAACTAAGCTAAATGTATTCTTAATAACTACACGTTCTGAAGTAACTTTGGCTGACCGTGGAAGCAAATACAATGAGGATTTCACTATATCAACATCATTTAAAGAAAGTGTATTGCAGTTTATTCTTACTAGGAACTCCAGGTCTTGTATAGCAAAGGAAGCAGCGTGTAGGTCGAGCTTTAAGTGATGTGTATAACTCTTATAAACCAGAAGCTGAGAATGGATTAAGTTATAATATGTGATGTGCAGCTGTTGTGAAGTGTGGACACCTGACATGGTGGTCTAGGTGTGTTGGTCTCGGGGACATTTAATGCACATCACACAACACATCATGCACCACACATCACGACACACACAACACATCATGCACCACACATCACGACACACACAACACATCATCCACCACACATCATGACATACACAACACATCTCACCGGTAGAATTTTCATAGAGCTGCCACAATCAAGTAAATTTTGTAATTTTTATATTTTATCATTAAACTTTACGACACTATTTGATAACTGTCTGAGATAATGTTTCTCTATGACATAACTGACTAGTAATCTCCTTAGTGGATGAGTAACACTATAATCCTGTTGTCAGAATATCAAGAATGTAATGGAGTATGTTGTGGTCTGGGGTTACTCTTGACTGTATCTGGAGAAAGTAAACATTATCATAACACCTATAATAAATAAGTAGTGTAGTAAAGTTATAAAAAGCACCATATGCAGTATTCCCCAGCCGTCTCAAGTAGGACCGTGCGTATCTGTAGTAACTCTCGTCAAGGTCTCGGCAGTGGTAATGTTCCTCGCCTCGGGATAGTCACCTGGACGTACGGTGCGGTAGCTGTCACTCGCTACTTCTTAGCAGCCAACAGTGAAGTCTCTAGGTGTTGGAAACGCTCCACCATGGGTGTATAAACCTGTAGGAAGACAAAAAACACCTCATTAGCCACAGGTAGACCTTGTATGCATACATAAACTACCTATGGCTGAGATGCACGGAGACAGTCTCACTCACATGACAGAGTTGTACCATACACCTCACTCTTTTGTTTTGTCTTGTCGGGGCAAACAACAAGCTGCATTACATCAAGGACTCATAGAAGACTTTTTACTATCTCGATCCTGTAAATGTATCTAAGGTACCACTCACTTATGCTACAGACTTAATTTGTTGAATCGTATGTAATGCTCTGCGGAGGGTAATTTTATACGATCTGAGAAACCATTTATTGCTTCTGTAGAATGTTTTGCTGTGGTAACAAACTCTCCTGACCCACAAATGGTTAAATAACGCACCTTGTCAGCGTCAGAATGCGGTTTACAGACAAGTTTAAAGTCTTGTTTCTTTATTACGTCTTGGAAGTCGCCGCCCACCAATCCGTGCTTGGCTCTGTAGGCCGACCCCAGGCACGCTGAATTGGCTACCTCCTGCGAGTAATAAAACCACAATGGTTTACAGTCGCACTAAATTAATACAAATTAACACATGTAGATTAATTAATAGAAATAATACAACACATTAACTCACCATATAGTACATAATACAACACATTAACCCAGTACATAATACAACACATTAACTCACCATACAGTACATAATACAACACCTTAACTCACCATAGTATACACAGGTGAGTTGAAGACATCAGCCAGGACTTGCAAGAGGCTGTTGTTATTGGAAGCCCCACCTGTTGCTAACACTCGGGTCTTACTGTCTGTAGATAACAAACTGTGTAATAACCAAATACCTAGATCAATAAGAGTGTCCCAAATGTAAATCATCTTTTTAATATTACTTTTAAAGGGAATAATTATCTTAATGGTCTTTACGAGGTCTTAAATTTGTCTCACCGGTATTTATTGTCATTTATTACAAATAGTCGTAAATTGTGTGAGAGTTCCTGTAACACACACACCACACTCTTTCTTATACTCTACATTAAGAAGACATCTGGTTTCTCAATTACAAACACAGAGATTGACACATTACTGGACGTTCCTCACCAATATGAAAGCCCAATTTCTCTGCATAAACACGCTTGGCCAGCAACTGTCCTTCTATCAGGGCTCGCACCTCAACTTCCCGACTGGTGAAACGCGAGACGGATTCATCGGCTTTGTTGTAGCGGAAAACTCCTTCAAGGTCGGGGATAATCTCTCGCATGAAGTAATATATACCTGAGGGGGGGGTAACATATATGAGACAGAGACAACAGTATGTGGTAATGTTAGTTCACAGAGATGGAGGTTAGCTACTAACCAGTTACACTTCGTTCCCAATTTACGAAAAGGTTTCATTCATGAGTACCTTTCGTTAATTGATTTTTTGTACACAGGAGCACAGTTTCCCATACACTGCCGATATAAAAGCTAACATACCAGAACAATTAAGGGGTCATAACAGTGCTAAACAACTTACCACAACTCTCAATAACACAGACTGATTTATTGACCCTTAACGGCCACAAGATACGCAGACAACAGGCATCCCTAACTCACGGTAGATGGAGGACAATAACAAACGTCTCGGTTATACTACCAACGTTGCCGAAGTTCCCCCTAGGAGTCATGTCGAGCAGCTGGTTGAAGATGTCCCATGACGAGTCCGCACATTCGTTCCGTATTTTCTCCCGTGTCAGAGATCCATTCTTGAAGCTGAGAAGATATTATAAGTGATGTTACCTGAAGATTAACCCCAGTTTATTTTATGGTTAGATTAACCCCAGTTTATTTTATAGGAAGATTAACCCCAATTTATTTTATAGGAAGGTTAACCATCCTAATAATTCTGGGGATTAGGTTAGCATTTGAGTGGCTAATCTTCAAGTGAAGTAAACTGGGGTTAATCTTCAAGTGAAATAAACTGGGGGTTAATCTTCCTCTAAAATAAATTGGGGTTAATCTTCATGAGAAATAAACTGGGAAGGACACAGGTTAGTTTGGGTTGTCCCTATAAGTACAGTACAACTCACACATCAATACAAGTAGTTCAGTGTAAGATCATCTAATATACCTTGTGTACTATACATCTCAAAGTCAGTTTCTTGGACCAATGGACTTAAGTTGATCTTGTCACCTCACACTGCTAGCTCAAACATGGCCCTGTATTGACTTCCTGTGTGTGTGATAGTGACATTTTTAGCTCATGTTGTAATGTTTAATAAGTCTCTCTGGGTTTCTTAGATATTTCTGAGTATTGATATAGGATTTTTTTTTTTACATTAAACAATCACTGCCGAGAAAAAATGTCAACTATTATTATTATTACTATTATTAAAACAGTATCATTATTATCATCATCATTAGTATCAGTTATCAAATGTTCAGTACCACAAAATCCTAACAGTAAACCACATATCACCAAGAATGAAAAACACATTATCTACATTACACTAACCAGAGGAGAGCCATGTATGCATTACTGTCTACAGGATTGACTAACACATGGCCCTCTAGCTGGGGTCTCGGGGTGTCCAGCCACAGGAAGAGTGTGTCGCTGGTGCCCAAACTGACAGCTACATCTCCTCTTTCCAAACACATCCCTGCAACAGACATCACCATTATATTTCTCTGCGTGATTAACATAGTCACACGTAATGAATATATTCTTGGATATATATAAAAAAAATAATGATTGGTGTTTATTAATGGTAAGTGTGTGTGTGAGTGTGTTGAGAGCGAGTGTGTGTGTGTGTGAGCGAGTGTGTATGTGTGCGTGCAAGAATGTTTGTGTGTAATATCGTATCTAGTCAATCATCTAACAGCAAGAGAAGATTTGTAAGCGAGCGAGAGGGGGGGGGGAAATCAGTGTTACCAGCCAGCGAGGAAGGGTTGTCTCCGGTAAAGGCTATGACAGCACAGTCCGGGTTGAAGCTGTAACGGTCCACGAAATAGGACGACACGGTGCCCAACTTCTCGGAGGCGGGGACGGGCTTGCCTAGTTTTTCCGCCAATCCCGGAGCACAACCCTGAAATGACGGATCTTGTAGTGTTGCTGAATTTTTGGATCACCTGAAGATTAGTTTAGGTTAGGGTAGGTTAGGTTATGTCATGTCATTTGATGATTGAACACCGTAATGCTACCAAGGGAGGGACGGTTAAATTGGGTTAGGTTGGGTTAGGTTAGGTTAGGTTGGGTTTGCATTAGGATAGTTAATCTTATGGTGTAATAAACTAGGGTGGCTAATAATCAGGTGATTCTATAAGTATAATGTAGGTATACAAACAATATACCTAGACAGTGTACAAACAATGTACCTAGACGGTGTAGGTATACAAGGTAGGTATACAAACAATATACCTAGACAGTACAGGTATACAAACAATATACCTAGACAGTACAGGTATACAAACAATATACCTAGACAGTACAGGTATACAAACAATATACCTAGACAGTACAGGTATACAAACAATATACCTAGACAGTACAGGTATACAAACAATATACCTAGACAGTACAGGTATACAAACAATATACCTAGACAGTACAGGTATACAAACAATATACCTAGACAGTACAGGTATACAAACAATATACCTAGACAGTACAGGTATACAAACAATATACCTAGACAGTACAGGTATACAAACAATATACCTAGACAGTACAGGTATACAAACAATATACCTAGACAGTACAGGTATACAAACAATATACCTAGACAGTGTAGGTATACAAACAATATACCTAGACTGTGTACCTAGACAGTGTAGGTATACAAACAATGTACCTGAACAGTGTGGTATACAAACAATATACCTAGACAGTGTAGGTATACAAACAATGTACCTAGACGGTGTAGGTATACAAACAATATACCTAGACAGTGTAGGTATACAAACAATATACCTAGACGGTGTAGGTATACAAACAATGTACCTAGACAGTGTAGGTATACAAACAATGGTAAAGAGTAAGGCAGTTTGACCAAGCACATATCATAGCATTATTTCCAGTAAGGTTCAGTACCAAACATTAGAAGAGATTCATTATGTCAGAAAATATAAATCTGATATATTCGACTTACATCCAAACACTGTTGCGACCATTCCTTTGTGTTGATGTCCAGCAAGTTCATGCCTGACCCATCAGCTAAGTCTATTGCAGCATAATGTCCCAAGAACAGTGAACACGCAAAACTACTCACGAGGGAAATCCTCTGAAACAAAACAATGTCGTTAGGTAATAAAAGACCATACTGTACTATATGAACAATGGTTAGTCTACAATATTCAAAATACTCTTAATTCCTTCATTTAGGTTTTATAAAAGTGAGGCAGATTATTAAGAAGTTGAGTAAACTTTGGTGATGTGTTGGGTGTGGGATAATTCACCTTCTGGTCATAACTGTTCGTAAATAATGGCCAGTCAATCGCACTTAAGCTTTCAAAAAATAAAAGTTCTGTTCAGTATTATTTTGTATTATGAGAAAATAATACACATAGACACAAAACACATCCTAAATTTTATAAACAAAACCTTAATATATATTTTATAACCATACCTCCGTGTTACTGTATGCTTCCTTGCGATTCTTGTACACCTTAGCGATCTGGGAGCCTGTAAACCTCTCATAGGCCCTCGACCCTGTGATGTCTACCAGTTTCTGATGAAGGAACGACCATTATATTAATTCTATCCATCTATTTGACTATACTAGATCCTTTTATCCGTAAATTATATTTGAATCACACGAAGAACGGCCCTCCAAGCTTATTTTACCCGACGATTAAGAACCCTAACGGTACCTAGACGTTAGATTAGAATACGTTAGGTTATTTTAAATTAGGTTAGGTTGTTTAATCTGAAGGTTAAATAAGCTGGGGCCTGGGATGAAAGAGTAAATAATGAGACGTACAGTGCAGACACCCACAAGACCTGACACCTCTCTTCCTGAACCACAAACCCAGAGATTCAGACTCGTGAACCCAAAACCTTAGACCGATACATTATTCTGTCCATAAATGCTTCGGATTCACGGGTTTGAATCTCTGGGTTCGTGAAGCCGGAGGAGAGGTGCCAGGACTCTCGTGGGTGAGGATACATGTCAGGCATTGGTAGTCCCTGCTATAAGTAATGTTGTCATTGAGATGGTCAAGTACGGTGTCTGTTTACTGCTGAGACCTTTATTTATTTCATTCCTAACGCCTTCGGGCAACATTATGGTGCTTTAAGTGAAATAAAATAGGGTGTTAAATCTTCAAGTGATGTAAAGTTTATCAGTAAAACCTTGATTTAATGGACTATACGGAGAAGAAAGTCTGTTATATCGAGGGTTCGTTAGAAGTGAAACCCTAGAGTTGCCACATGTCCGAATTTTCACGGACATGTCCTCCATAAATCTGTCCGGGGGAAATTTTCAAATATCAAAAAATGTCCGAGGTTTCGTCCTTATTATCTTCCCAACGAAGAATTAATATTTTATAAGAGAGTGAATGACGTCAGACCCGGGGATTCGATTAAGAGACTTGTCTAGTTCGTTAGGTCATTTGTCTTGGACGGGTGTGATCGTGTTCAGTGTTCAGCTGTTGTGTGGCTAATGCAGCGATATTCATTTACAGAACAAATACTAGCCTATAAATATAACAAGAATGATTTTCTGGAGGATGTAGATCATATTGACATTTTAGCAACTTTTCCGATCAAATCTAGCAACATTAGATTGTCAACTCTGGGATGAAATTATGCGCCAAATGTTCAGTCGGTGACTCTGTGTCTTTTCAGGCGGTACTGTGCACAGAGGCATTCCTTCCAAAGCTGTTTATTTTATTTCTCACTTTTTAATTCTCAAGCTCAAAGCAAAAACAAAAGTGCAAATTCACTACAGAACTCAAAAGTAAATTCCCATGTTTTTGAAGTGGCAGAGAAGATTGGGAAGCCGAGTGTTTGGTATGTAAACCTGATACAGTACCTAAATCTCGGTGGCAAATAATGGATGGCATTTTGACTCGCAAACTCATGTGGACTCGGACAAACACAAAAAAGCAGTTTGAAGAGAGAGTTCATCGACGAAACTAAATGATTATTTTGTAAAACCAGGCAGCAAAGTACTGCACCGGAGGGTACTTAGGTATTCCACACAATGAAGCATCACCAGAGTTTCAAGTCAATGGACAACTCATCTGACTCTGAGATAGCACAAAAATTATCAAGTGCTAGAACCAAGACAGAAGCGATTGTGAATTCTGTACCAGGTTCACACTCTACGGCCCTGAAAACATTAGTAGATAATAACATGGTTTACTGAGGAGTTGCTATAGATGGAAGTAATCTTGGTTCAGTACTGAGGAGTTGCTACAGATGGAAGTAATCATGGTTCAGTGAACATTTTCCCTGTAATTATTCAGTATTTTGACTGGAATAATGGTGGCTTGCAGTCAAAGCTGATTGAGATTCATAACACAACTAATGAAACTGCTGAAACAGTTGCAAATTACGTCAAAGAACCTCTTGAAAAAAATGGTTGTTTTTGAGAAGTGAATTGCATTCACGGGTGACAACTGCAATACACTACCATGTTTGGTGGACTTGGGCGTGATGAAGGAAAGAATGTGTTTGTGAACTTAAAGAAGAGTTGTTGTATAAGAGGTGTGGGTTGACCAGCACACATCTTGAACAACTGTGTTAATCATGGTTTAAGATCTACCAGTACTTTCATATCTACACTGTTCGTACTGAACTGCTGAAGGAAAACTGTGAATTTGTAGAAGTTGAATACAGAAGCCGTTATCCCATAGTGTGGCTGTCATTATTTCCAGGCATTGCTACAATAGGTTCATACAGATGTGTCCGGCCTTGAAGTCTTTCTTTCTGCCACAGGACAAACTAGCCACAGTGATAAAGAAATTTGTTGAGCACAAATTGAGTGAGATTCACCTATGGCACATGCAATCTCTTATGAGTGTTTTCCAAAGCCACATCCAAACCATTGAAAGAGAAAGCAATTCTGTTGTTGAAGTGTTGAATAGTTTGAACTCTATTCACACCATCCTCTTTGAACGAAAGACTCGAAGCTTCATGTCCTTGAAAGTGAAGGGACCTCTGACACAGGAGTATATGGATGAAGAGTGTGATGAAGTAGATAACAGCAGGTGCTTAGAGTATTCGATTAAACCCCTGCAAGACTTCTCCCATTTTATATGGATGACCCCGAGTGAAATGCCGAACTGTGGAATCATGTATCAAATATCTGATTGATAAGGGAGTACTAATTGATGACGTGAAATGCTTTGATCAAGTTAGCAGTCTGAAGAAATTAACAGAAAGTCACAAGAGTGATGAAGAATTCATTTTATTGCGCGCACAACAGAAGTGGACCAAATATTTTGAAAAGTCCAAAAACATTGATCGACACTCAGAGTTGTTGAAACTTGAACAGTTTGTCTGCTATAACCTCCTCATAATGCAAGTGTAGAGAGAATTTTTTCACTAATGCAAAGCCAATGGACAAAGGCGAGAAATAAGGTGACAGCCGAGTCACTGACGTCTGCTTGTACAGTACAACTTCAGAGAATTTTCCTGCAAAGACTTCCATGACTTCTTAATGAGCAATCAACCTCTGCTGAGAATGATGCGATTGACAGAGAAATATGCCTGGGTGCATCAAGGAAAGGAAAATTAATGCCCAATCCGCACTAAACATAACGTAAGCTCCAGAAAAATTAATGTTCTCAGCCACAAAATTTCTAAAATATCGATAGGCCTACTTGATATAAATGTACTAGTGCCACAATAAATGAGTATAGCGATGATATTCAACGTGGGATATTTTGCCCCCCACCACCACCACCACCACCAAGAAGATAGGAAAGTTCTTCAGGTTGTCCTACTTTTACGATGTTCAAAATACAGTAACCTCATGAAACCCCGATCTAATGAACTAGAGATAGGAAAGTCCATTATATCGAGGGTCCATTAGAAGTGAAACCCCCCATGTAACGTATTATATGGAGAGAGAAAAGTCCGTTATATCGAGGTTTCACTGTTTATGCTTCTAGACTAGACCGAGGTAATCACCTGCGCGCCCCCCACTGCAGTTTCCAGGTCCCGGCATTGAGCAGTGGTAGAAGAATCCATCCATACGGGGGACTCGGTGATGCTGAAGACCATAGCCAGCTGCTCGTGAAGGAAGCGCTCGGGCTGCACCTCGGACAGTGTTCTGCTGGCCCCTGTACGCCAATATACACTACCATGTTGCTGAAATGATCGACTTACATTACATACAGTACACCAATTACATAGATGTACTGTACTCTTGAAGTCTCATACACTATGCAGTACAGTACTCCCACCACAATGAGAACCATAAATAAACTGAAAATTAAAGCTATAATATAAACAAATACATAATGTAACCTATATTTAATGGGCTATATGGAGAGGAAAGTTCATTCTATCGAAGGTTCATTAAATGTGAAAACTCCATCTGACGAACTACACCGTACCCTCGTTAATTCAGATTTTGGCTTGGTTCATTTGTTTTTTAAATTAATTAAATCATTATAATTTGGAATGAACCCAAAATAACCAAGCGGTGACGAGCTGGTGTCCTCTCACTATCATCATGGCTTAAAGCAGATGTTTGTTCAGTAAAGTTGTGGGATAATGTTGTAAATTGTCTTGGTGGAAATATAAATCTGAAACATTTTGAGTTAGAAAAATTAACATAATCCGAGATAAATAAAACTGTACGTAAATTATTATTGGATCATGGATGGTAGGTATGGTAGTAGGCAGCTACCAAACAGGGAGGAAGATAGAGGAAGCATAATGTGTTGTGTAATGGTAGACCCTGATGACGTGTGACCAGGTTGATGATCTGACTTTCTGCCTCATTTACACACAGGGTCTAAGTTGTTTCTCTTACTATTGACAACAAAACATACATAGTACCGAAACAACGTTAAGCGGGACGACGTGAAGCGCAGACTTACTGTTTGTACAATTAAAATATATTTGTTTGCACAGTAATTATAAGTAGAATATTTTATTTAGCAGTCAAGGTATGGTAACTGAGTACGTTTGTTGGTTGAAATATTGAGGAACAATCAACGCAACAATCCCAATAAGGTGCAAAAACTGAATTGAAAATGAACAAATAATCAAACACAAAAACTCAGAAACTATCGAACTTCAAAATATTCCAAACACGGTTAATTCGTATTTGTCGTTAATTCGGGTGACCTAGAGACTCTTTTTTATCAAATTAACGAGGGTGTAGCTGCTCCCCGACCTATGACCACCCGGACATACGACCGCATCAGTCGTACCAAAATTTTGTAAAATTACGTATTTTCGAGTCCCAACGTCAGTGATTGCTCTGCGTACTGACTAAATTTTCGTTTGTAATTTACTTTAAAATGACTGGCAAGCTTAAAAGTGAGAGTTTTGTGGTGCTGAGAAGAAAAAGAGATCCATTTTAGATTTTCTATGTATTATTAGAGCATTTTCGACTTACGACCTGGATTTGGGTCCCCTAAACCCGTCGTAAGTCAGGGAGGAGCTGTATACTGCTTAGATCTGAGAGTCCGTATAGCATGGCGAGTTGAGTCCATTATAGGGAAGTTTGACTTAAGTGGCGACCATTTACAAGAGTGTGTGAGATCATTAACCTATCACTATTACTTCAACTAAATTACAACACAATAAATTAAGTCGTGTACAATGTTTGACGCACGGATGAGGAGCTTGTGACTGTCTCATAAACAACACAATATAATGCCTTCACTGTTTACATGTTACTCATATTTGTCTGTCTGTCTTTATTTACAAACACTTGACCGAAAATGAGTGAAAAATACACGAACTCCACACCAACTCAAAATTTAAAACACAGCTGACAAACATACACAAGAACATAAACTTGTACTGCTGCGGAAATATGTCCCCACACCCGGAGGTAACCAGTGTCTCCGAACGGCACCGTCACAGTAGTAGGGCCACTGTTTATGAATGAATGGTTATTGGTCATGTAACAATGGACGTGATTGGTGGATAGGTTTGGTATAGGTTGGTCGTTTGGAGACGCGGGTTAACCAAAGAAGCATAGGAACATATTTCTACAAAGGTACGTACATGAAATTAGTAGAGAATAATTAATGTTTCTATTATACTGTATTCAGGGCTTAGTCATGCTTCAGAACGAACACACACACACATGCTGAAAAGAACCAATTTGTGTATAATGTTACTGTAGCAATAAATTACTGGCATGTCCAGGTCACTTTTTGTACCTAACTAACTACACTAATACTGTACACAAAGCCTTAAACTGTTAGTAACGATACAACTCTAATGTCAATGGTTAGGTTTAATACAGATTATTAAATATTTAAAAGCAGTTAATATATCAGACAATATTATAACACCACAACACAGGCAGCCTCCACCTTACCTGTCCAGTGCCGCTAATGGCCGCAACGGTGGAAAAGTCTGCTCCGGCGACCCTGAGCTTGTCCATTAACATGTCGAGGGCCTTCACCCACATGATAGTAGGAGCTGTGACCGTCTCACCGTCCCCACGCACCTGCACCCCACCATGGGTCCTGCCCACAGTTTACCACTAATAGTCCTCCTTCATACAGTACAAGCTCACCAAATGATACAACCATGCTGTCATCTTCACTACAGTACTGTATTCTTCATGCATTTATATCAACAAAAGCAATGGACTATATGTTATTTTGAGGTACAGTAATGTTCCTTATATACTGTATCTGGCAACTTAAGTACTTACACAAAAAAGCATTTAGAAAAATATATATAAATAATATCCATATAAATACAAAATACAATGAAGTTTTATCAAACATTTAATATTATAAAAGAAACTACTGTAACAGACTGTGCGTGTACCTATACTCTGGTAAATCATTGTCAAACTGGACGGCAGCTTCCTGTAGCACCTCCAGGCGATCATTCACCACCGCAGCTTTAACCTGTAATAAAATGGTTCTTAGTGAGACCAAATTAATAATGGTAAAAATTTTAGTTTTGGCCATCAATGTATTTAGATAACCAAACTAACCTAATCTAAACTCACTTTGACTATTTTACTTTTATCCTCTTCACCACTAATCAGCTCATTAGCCGCTTGGGCGATCGGTCACGTCTCTGTTACACACTGTTGACAAGTACTGGGCATGCACCGGCTCTCTGTTACACACTGTTGGCATGTACTGGCTCTCTGTTACACACTGTTGGCAAGTACTGGGCATGTACTGGCTCTGTTACACACTGTTGGCAAGTACTGGGCATGCATCGGCCCTCTGTTACACACTGTTGGCAAGTACTGGGCATGCATTGGCTACACACTGTTGACAAGTACTGGGTACGTACTGGCTCCTGAATGTACCTGAACCTGCTCCAGTGTTGGTCAAGTCTTGCCTTGAAACAGCTCACACTCGGTGCCGTCACAACACTCTCTGGCAGGTTGTTCCAAGAGTTTACAACCCTCACTCCGAAAAGTTTGCCCTCACAGTTTTCTGGACCTGTGGCTTCTTCAACCTTGAGCTGTGACCCCTTGTGGGGCGAGCGTCCGCCAGCTCCAAGTAAGGACACTCAACTGAGTAGTGCCACTTGAGATGCTTATACACCTCAACTAGGTCACCCCTTGCCCATCTGTAGTATAAGCTAGGCACTTGCAGGCGCCCTAATCTCTCAGGGTAGTTGAGGTGCAGGAACCAGTCTGGTGGCCCTCCTTTGAACATTTTCAGTCAACTGACAGTCACTAGCATATCTTGGGGACCAGTCGGGGTGACAGTACTCCAGATGGGGAAGCACTTCACTCTTGAAGATTGTTACGAGGGACGGACCGTTAAGATATCTGAACGACCTTATAAGACCCAATAATTTATTTGCCTGATTTACCTTCTTCTCACAATGGCCCGAGAACTTCAGTTCATTGTCAACATACACACACAGGTTCTTCTCACATCATGGCATAATGCTCTCAAGTACTTTACATATTATGCTGGTCAGACTCACCGGTCTATAGTTGTTCGAGGAGTGACGATCGCCCTTCTTGAAGATAGGACTTGCATAAGCCACTTTCCATTCACTGGGGACCTTTTGTTCATCCAGGCATTTACAGAACAGGATCTTCAGGGCTCGACAAGCTCGTTGCACAACTCTCTTAACACTCTGGGATGCACCATGTCAGGGCCGGGACTCTGATGGACGTTTAGCTTTGTCCTGGTCATAATCTGCATAACTACCAGCCTCAGGTCTGATACTCCTACTCACGTTTTTAATTTCGACTTTGCATAGTGGTAAAACGCCTTTGGGTTTGACTTGACCTCAATGCAACCAGCCTCTGGAACTCCTTTTCAGCCCTCCTACACTCTGCCTTTGCTTGGTTCCTAACCTAACTTAACTTAACCATATAACCGAAACTAAACTAATACCGGTAAATTTACATTGTCACACCATTCTCTGTTAGAAAGTCAAAAATATATTTTTCTAGTGTATTTGTGTGTGTTTAGACCGAATATGACCTTCATTTCGGGAGGAAATGAACTTCTTTTTTTCAAATTTTTTTCGTTGGACGTTTTCCAAAAATATATCATGGCAAAATACACCAAAAAACTCTAGAAAAACAAAAACCAAACCAAACCTAACCTAACTGACTCTCACCATATGATGGAATAACCTATTTCTTACCTTATTGGCCTGGTCAGGGCTGGATTCAGGAGTGGGCAAAGTGGGCAGCTGCCCAGGGGCCTCCACATATTACAATATTTTATTTATTTGTTTATTCATTTGGATTCTTGTGTTTTCAAACATGTTCATACTTTTGTAATAATTTTATCAAATTCATTAAACTGTTTATTTGTTTTACTATTGGATGCAAAACTTCAATTTTATTTATAGTTGAGTTTATACTTATTCTGAAACTATCTGACCTTGGACTTAAAGAAGCCTATACATGCATTCTTGGACAGAACCATTATTTGAGTAGAGGTTTATCTGATTAATAATGCATAGAATCATCTCTCTGTAATAATTAATAATATATTCTTTTCTGTGAAGTCTCTTGAAAATTTTTGACATGTGCGGTAGTAGCTATATCAGGGCTGGTCGACTTGAAACCACATGAATGACTCCAGTCATGTCTCACTTTTGTGTGTGTTGGGAATTTGTACAGTATCAATAAATATACAGTTAATTAAATATTTCTCAATGTTCTAATTTCCTCAATATAACTGCATATGGCTTCAAAATTCTCCAAAGAAGTGTTCAAATTTCAAATTTTTCCCGGGGGGCACTGTAAGCCCCCCGGAACTCCCAGATGTTTAGGCTCGCTTCACTCGCCACCCCACCCTCTTGGGTAGTTATAATGAGGGGGGCCTCCACAAAGAGGCTGCCCATGGGCCTCCACAGATCTAAATCCGGCACTGGGCCTGGTTCTTGTTCGTCGTTGGATTCTGAGATTCTTACACAACGTCACATATGTTGGTCTTTGCGATATTTACATTGTTTTGCTCTTAGTACACTTTACTGAGGATGGAAGAACACCATGTGATCGAAAAAATGCTACAGTTTCTTCGTCTTTTTCCCAAAAACTCGCAATAAGCTCCATATAATTTAAGTGATTGCCATGGTCGGAACTGAAGTTACTGTACTTGAATTTTGAAATATGAGAGACCCAAAATAAAACTCGAATTTGATTGGGCCAAATATACCGCGAATTAAACCCCAAATCATTTTAATTGGTTTCAAAAACAAAAACGCTTTTGATTGGCCGCGTGACGTGTACGGGAACTCATGCGCGTGATGATTTATGAAGGAGACGCAGGAGACACGCAGTGTTGGAGGAGAGGCAGACGATAATGGCTGAAGATTAATAGAGGAAAATAGAGAAAATTATGGATAAGCTATCTCCGTTATTATACATTTCCCCCGGTAATGTAATAGATGAAAATTATCTTATAATTAGATGTCTTATTCGAATCTGATAATAGATTAGTGGTAGGAATGAACGGTGTGTAAACGCAATAATACCCTAATACCTTAATAACTTTCTATTAACTAGTAGTCAGCAGTAATGTGTGTATCTCTTCCTACTGTGACCTGAGTTCAATGCCCGGCCCATGACACCTAACCCAGGCACTGTCAGCTTACCTAACTGTGCCAACAAGGACTAATAATGAGCCTTGACTCTTCCTAAACCATATAGAGGCAAGAAACATCAATACTTAATAAATAATAAATATTTTAACATACAGAAGCACGTATTGAAACAATTTAGATTCACAAACACGTCAAATTCAGTGAGTTAATCCTGTCAGTGATGGAATTTAAGTTATATTATGTAGATTAAATAAGAACATGACAATTAAAATCATAAGTTTTTTATATTTCAATTTTTATTAATGTTTTAAATAGGAACTAGGAGCCCATCTCACCTGTTGTGTACTAAAGTCAAACCCCAGGTAATTCTTGGGCTCGTTAGACGTCATTTTGGTAGTTAGGTCAGCATCAGTCATAGTGAAGAGATAAAACACTGAGGAGATAACAAGATAAGTTGTCCCGTGTTGGTGCTGACGACCCTTGACACACCTGTTGGCTCTCTACTCCTCAACACCCAGAACATAAAATAAAGTAATATTTTGATTAATTTGTGATATATTAGTTGGAGTAAAATATTTATTTCTGTTTATTATATGGCTGGTAGTTATATGATAAGGTATATTAAGGTTATGAGTCATATAATTTACTTAATATTGTATTACTGAACGAAGCTGTAAACATTGTCTCCGGTTTAATCTATGGCTTTGACTTCGGCTTCATTAACATGTACACGACAGACATAATCACTTATATATCACCCATAACAGATTACTGTATTAATTATATACGAGTTTTCTTTATACTTGCGTGTTATATATATCAAGGCTATATCAAAATTAATAATCTATATAAATGCAACACAGACAGGAGTTAGGACATAGTTGAGGGGTGAACAACATGTAATTCAAGTAATTAACGTAATGAAGGAAGTCTTTGTGTCTATCTCCTAGGGATCAATTATTTGTGAAGTCAATATTGCTTATTATTGTAAGATCTAATATATTGTTTTTTGTTTGTTGTAAATTTATATCTTCAACCAATATGGCTCTCGATCAATGTGTTTTTCTGTGGTTTTATTCGATTTTAATATTGATTTTTGTCGGAACACACGCCAAAAACCATGGTAAAAACACATTGGTCAACCCCAAAACCAATCTAATATCATGACCTTGCTATTGTTGCTGAGCTACTTTGTCTTCCCAATCCCACCCACTCAGCCAACCTGTTTCCCAACCCCTTGTAGTTATTTTGTCTCCCCATCTGTAGTATCAGTCATCTTGTCCCTCACAATGCAGTATGAATATCAGACAATTTGGTAGAGTTACCCACAGAATCTTGAGTCACTGTCACAGAAAACGAATACATGTGGACATTAAAGAAAAAAAATCCCTTAAACGGATAACACGTGAAAATTCTCATCCATAGTGTCGCCTCTGAAAGTTCGAGTCACGTCTGTTACACATTGTTGGCAAGTACTGGGCATGTACTGGCTCTCTGTTACATACTGTCGGCAAGTACTGGCTCTCTGTTACATACTGTCGGCAAGTACTGGCTCTCTGTTACATACTGTCGGCAAGTACTGGCTCTCTGTTACATACTGTCGGCATGTACTGGCTCTCTGTTACATACTGTCGGCAAGTACTGGCTCTCTGTTACATAACACCTTGGTTGTTTTTGGTTTTTGCTAACGAGCCGATCAGTGGCGAAGAGGATAATAGTAAAAGATCGGCCATTTTTCGGTTCATCAGATATAATTACATATCCTATTAGTCTCATATTTCTCTCTGTTTTTATTATATACACAGACAACCTTTTATCTACCTAATAACAATCAAGTCGGCGAATTTCACTTCTCTACTAGGAACTTCGCCAAGTGATTCACTAATGTTTCCTGCTACTGTACATTTGATTACATCTGAAAATATCCGACCACCAGAAGTACTCAACATTTCTCTGCTTAATTATATTCATTGGCAGTGGCAACATTCTCTCGTTACAACTTGATAAACCTTAATGCTTCAATTTTTTTTCTATGGTGATGTTTCTTCACTTGCTCTCTTTATCTATCTATCTACAGTACCTATTAAGAGGGAGGGAGGGAGAGGCGTGTTTCACTTGCTCCCTTAATCTATCTATCTACAGTACCTATTAAGAGGGAGGGAGGGAGAGGCGTGTTTCACTTGCTCCCTTAATCTATCTATCTACAGTACCTATTAAGAGGGAGGGAGGGAGAGGCGTGTTTCACTTGCTCCCTTAATCTATCTATCTACAGTACCTGTTAAGAGGGAGGGAGGGAGAGGCGTGTTTCACTTGCTCCCTTAATCTATCTATCAACAGTACCTATTAAGAGGGAGGGAGGGAGAGGCGTGTTTCACTTGCTCCCTTAATCTATCTATCTACAGTACCTATTAAGAGGGAGGGAGGGAGAGGCGTGTTTCACTTGCACCCTTAATCTATCTATCTACAGTACCTATTAAGAGGGAGGGAGGGAGAGGCGTGTTTCACTTGCACCCTTAATCTATCTATCTACAGTACCTATTAAGAGGGAGGGAGGGAGAGCCGTGTCCTCCCCAAATTTAAGGTACCCCCCCTGCCTCCATGATTTACCCTTAATACGCTATCACTATATATCTCTCCATCTATCTATCTATCTACCCATTTATCAATCTATCCATCTACCCATCTATCCACCCATATATCCACCCCGTTTTCTGTTCATCAGCTGTCAGTCTCCCCCCCAAAACAAAATGGCTTCACGTTGTCTCCACTGCCTCTAGCCAGCTGCAAGTTACGATGCCTTTCCTTCCCTCACACCTCCTTACCGACCATATTTATAAGGTAAGAAATATAATATGGATAATTTACAACACTTGTGAATATATTACTAAGTTATAACTATTGTAAATCTGATAATAAAGTGATATAAAACCCGGGTGATGAGGCGAGTCTGGGATTAATTTTTGTTTACGATTATTAGTTTCATTTTATTGGTGTTAATTTGGTTAGATATATGTTTAGTTATATGTATTTAGTTGTTAGTTATGGTTAATTATGAGTAGAGACAGTTAGTGACAGTTTAGTTTAATTGTAATAACGTATTGTTTTAGATAATTGTCTGTTATTAATTATAATTGTTTTGTGGTAGCTATTTACAAAACGTCATAATCACTACAGGAAAATATTTTGATTATTAATTTGAATTTTACGAGGAAGGTTTTAATCTGTGTGTTTGTTAGGTTAGATTAGGGTTGGTTAGGTTAGAGTAGGTTAGATTAGGTTGTTATTTTGCTCTATTTCCTTTCATACAAATCAATATAGAGTTTCCTTGCATGACAACTACCGATTATTTACCCTTGCTATTTCTGTAATGTTATTTTTTGTGGTATTTTTGGTTTCGTCCGAGAAATTAAGTGGTAAAATTTTAGTTACCATCAACCCTGTGTTTAGATGTCTAGACTATGTGATTTCCGGCAGATATGATGAAAATCGTTCAAAACACCTCAAAACTACCGGAAATTGATAGTTTGGATATGTAACCTAGCCTACCCTACAGTACTCTAACTTAACCTAACCTACCCTACAGTACTCTAACTTACCCTAACCTACCCTACAGTACTCTAACCTAACCTACCCTACAGTACTCTAACTTAACCTACCCTACAGTACTCTAACTTAACCTAACCTACCCTACAGTACTCTAACCTAACCTACCCTACAGTACTCTAACCTAACCTACCCTACAGTACTCTAACTTAACCTAACCTACCCTACAGTACTCTAACCTAACCTACCCTACAGTACTCTAACTTAACCTAACTCTTACCCTACAGCATTTTAACCCAATCCCACCTCTACAGTAATACTCTTAACCCTTAACCTACCCTACAGTATTATAATCTCTAACCTAACCTACCCTTCAGTACTCTAACTTAACCTAACCTACCCTACAGTACTCTAACCTAACCCACCCTACAGTACACTCTAATCCTTAACCTACCCCTACAGTATTATAACCCAACCTAACCCACCACCCTTCAGTGTCTCTAACTTAACCTAACCCACTCTACAGTACTCTAACTTAACCCACCCTACAGTACTCTAACTTAACTTAACCTACCCTACAGTATTATAACTTAACCTAACCTACCCTACAGTACTCTAACCTAACCTACCCTACAGTACTCTAACCTAACCTACCCTACAGTACTCTAACTTAATCTACCCTACAGTATTATAACTTAACCTAACATACCCTTCAGTACTCTAACTTAACCTAACCTACCCTACAGTACTCTAACCTAACCTACCCTACAGTACTCTAACTTAACCTACCCTACAGTACTCTAACTTAACCTACCCTACAGTATTATAACTTAACCTAACCTACCCTACAGTACTCTAACCTAACCTACCCTACAGTACTCTAACTTAACCTACCCTACAGTATTATAACATAACCTAACCTACCCTACCCTTCAGTACTCTAACTTAACCTAACTTAAAAATACAGGTACTAAATTACTAAGAATATTTTGTAAATTTGTACTTTCGACGAACCACAGATCTTGAGTCGAGTACTGTACAGTTATGTGGTTTACCGACGGTTTAGATAATTGTAAGACACTTTTCATTGACGTTAAGTTATAGTACTGTAGGGTAAGGTAGGTGAGGTTAGGGTAGATTAGGTTAGGTTAGGGTAGACTGAAGATATCTTCGTAAACTGCAGTATCGACAACATTATTTATATAGAACATGAAAACTATCTTATTAAATATTATAATACTATTTTGGCAGTTCCTCCTGACCTTTTCATACAGACGAACACTGCCAGCTTGCCACAGAGGGACATCTAATCTAACCTTACCTACTTAATCTAACCTTACCTACTTAATTTAACTTGTCTAACTTAACCAAACAGGGAGGTACTACCGCCTGGGAAGATAGAGGAAGCATAATGTGTTGTGTAATGGTAGACCCTGCTGCCATGTGTGACCAAGTTGATGATCTGACTTTCTGCCTCATTTACACACAGGGTCTCAATTGTTTCCCTGACAACACAACACAACACAACACAACACAACACAACACAACACAACACAACACAATACAACACAACACAACACAACACAACACAGTACAACACAACACAACACAACATACATATATTGTTTCTCACTCTTGATCTTTTTCATATTTGCATTTCTTTGTTTCTTTATTATTATTATTGTTATTAATATTGTTATTAATATTGTTATTATTATTGTTATTAATATTGTTATTAATATTGTTATTATTATTATTGTTATTAATATTGTTATTAATATTGTTATTATTATTGTTATTAATATTGTTATTATTATTGTTATTAATATTGTTATTATTATTGTTATTAATATTGTTATTATTATTATTATTGTTATTAATATTGTTATTATTAGTATTGTTATTATTATTATTGTTATTAGTATTGTTATTATTATTATTATTGTTGTTAGTATTGTTATTATTATTGTTATTGTTATTATT